TCAGTTTAAGAGCTCTAAACTGAACTGACTGATAAGACGAGAGCTCTAAACTGACACTGAACTGACTGCCAAGCAATCAGTCAGTCAGTCAGTCTCATCAGTTTGGATTGATTGTTAGCAACTCTGGGCTCACGACTGATCAGAGGATAACAATGGCACTGCTTCGATCAGAAGACCTGATGTTGTGTGCTATATCAGCACAGAACATGGTAGATGACCTTTTCTTCTCCTTCCACAATCATGAACTCTCCTTACATGATCTGAAGTCTATAAAGGAATTCCTCAGCTTCCGCGAGAATGATTTCGACCAGGAATTCCCTACCATCAGGCAATGTTCACGTCAAGCCTGGTTCACTCTGCCACCTGGCTAAGAAAACAAGATTTTCAGGCGATGGTACGACTTTGGGCAGATTGGATACCACGATATCCCCGACTGGCCTGCAAGCTCGAACATGCCTTCACGGCTGGTGACTGATCTACCTGCTGAGATCATGTTAATGATTCTCGAAAAGGTCTTCAAGATCAATGGAGACATCCATGTCGTATTTGATCGATTCGAGAATGAGCATATTGCACTAGTGGAGAGGGAGCGAAGATTGCAGGAGCACCCATTTGGGGTTCACGGACAGAGACTCCCTTATGGGAACTACTGGAAGTTGCCGAGTATGAGACACCTCTTTGCATTTGGTATCACCAGTAGAGGTAACTGGCTCATGATGAAGGAAATGTTCTATAAGAAGAACAAATTCATCATACATGAGGACTAGTTGGACAGCGCTCTCCACCGGTGTCACTGAAAGCAAACGGGTGTCTTATATTCGTGCCAGGCAGATACATAGATCGTGAAAGTGCGGCGGTGTCGAGGTGGGAATTTGAGTGAACCTCCTGGGATATGTATAGAAGATAGAAATTGGAGATGCATTGACCATTGGACGTATACCACACTACTGCATTCATGTACAGATTTCACACAGGTGCCCTATCAGCGACCTGAAGCCAGTACTTGCATCTGTCCTCCAACATGCTAATTCCACCTTGTCGTAGCCCACTCGATGTGACCAAGAACTGTTTGCCCTCCTCAACATCTGGTACGCCAGCAACAGTGGCATTAGTGACCTTGTGGGCGTTTGGATCGCCAGTTTGGATGAAGGAAGCCATGGCACCAGCATAACCTTGGTAAGTCAAAGCATCTGTCTGCTGGATTGAACCGATTGTGTTCCACTAATTGAAGTCAGTATCCTGAGTCGATATGCTGTGGTCAGGTAGCAATGAACGTACATATTGAACATCACTCGCGTGTTTGGCGGGCGAAATGGTATACTCAATCAACCACCCATCCTCTGCCTTCTTCGATAACCAATACGAAGGACATGCCAGAACGAGGTCTCGGTATAGCAAGCCAGCGCGAACATATGTCGTATTCCAGCTGATTTCCTCCGCGGTGCCTGTCGCAGGGTACATCATCTTTACGTTGTCCAGGTCCTGCTGCGTAAAGTCCGGTAGGAAGCCCCTCAGCCAAGCATCGAAAGAAGCAGCTGATGAGTTGAACCCATCGCTTCCTGTCTTGGCGTTTTGGAAACTAGGAGGAATGAAGTTTTCGCCTTCGTGCAGGTTGTAGCTTGTCATGATCGTCTCAGCGTTCAGTTTTCCCGTGCTGACAACGCTACTCAGCGGCTCCGTGAGAAATTTGTCATCGACAACTGGACCATAGGTAAAGGAAGCAGTGGTATACTGCTGACTAGTACTCAAAGCCAATGCGCTATCCCTTAGCTTCTGTACATCCACCTCCTTCAAACACCTGATCTCATCTGCCGCACCCGTACAACCAACATCCTGCAACGTCTGCTGATACAAGTCTTCCGCCCACTCACTATCGTATCGGTATGTCTTTGGCCAGAAGGGGCTACTGGCCATGGCTTTGGTGAACAACTTCTTCCCACGGTTACCAGTAGCAATTGTCTGCGCAACGACACTGCCACCACCCGCCGATTGTCCCCATATGGTAACATTCCGCTTGTCGCCGCCGAAGTGGTGAATGTACTTCTGTATCCACTGCAGCGCAGCCTGCTGATCTAGTAACCCAGGGTTGAGATCGACATCCGGGTGTTGTGCAATTTTTGAACCAGGCAAGAAGCCAAAAACGTTGGTGCGGTAGTTCGAGTACACAACTACATAGTCGTTCCTGTCATCGACGTCCAAGACCGGGTAGCCGGAAGGCGGGATATTGAAGCTGGCGCTTCCTCGGATGAAACCGCCGCCGTAAAACGTTAACAACACGGGCCTTAGATCTTGCTTCTTCTTCTCCCAAGGCCGTGAGTATACACCTAGGTACAAACAATCTTCTGAGCCATTTACTGTGCGCTGCGGACACATGTCGAAAGCCTGATCGGTGTCGTACGTGCCATTGGTAATACGCAGTGGTGGCTGAGGGGCGCGGAACCGGTTCTCTCCTGCTGTGGATGCTGCAAAGGGGATCTTGCGGTAGTATGTTATGTTGTACTGGGACGAAGACGCGCCGCGAAAGGTGCCATAGTCGAGCTTCACAACCGGATTGGATGCATTCTGCTGTAGGTGCTGGGTTGGTGACGCGCAAACGGATGGAGCTCCTGCCAGAAAGGCCAGGACAGCAGACGCAGCGGAGAGTAACATCGTAGCGAACGCGTATCGACGAAACTCATGATCTTCGACGGCTGGGTACATCTACATATACTGAATCGGATGCACTAACCCAACGGCCAGATTTAGCCTCTTCTCCATGTCTCCGCAGATTGCAGCATGCTCATTCCCGACCCCGGATTGCGGGGACGCCCCAAAACCAGGATAGCATGGGCTGAGCATCAACAACAAACGTTCCATGAATCGTGAGTTTCGGTATAATTTGCGCCGAGATTTTGCTAAAGAAGTGGGCTATGCCGGGTTCTAGAGATGTTCCGCATGACGTCGATCATGAGTTTTTCCGGAGAGGCTGGAGATAACTAGCACAGATTCGGTGTGGTGGAGATTCGCAACACTAAACAGTTGAACAGCGTTGCCACAAAGGCCTGCTAGTGGTAGTATGGAAGGTCGCGACGGCTCAAGTAGTAGACGAATGTATTGTCTATGCGACTGGTATCTCAATTAATCAACAGACCCTCTATCTTAGACGCCTTCGTCACTCATAAAAGATAAAACTAAGTCATAAACATCATGAAGTCGATCATGCGACTCTATTTCCTTTCTCCCTTCCGCCCAGTCTTCTTCAACCTTGCTGCAAGATCCAGCATACCATCTGCCCAAACCGACATGCTTTTCTCGTCTTTGACCTCATTGCCACAAAAGTCGCGTAAGAACGCGCCCATTTTCTCCTCTCCGTATTTCTCGCCGTACACAACTTCCGCCTTGATATCAACATCAGTCTCAAAGCCCTCCTTACCAAGACCTACGCCGACTTCGAAGGTAGCCTTGATCTTTGTTTGGAGGGTGGGCAGCAACATATTTGTGGAGATTGCCATGCGTTCATCCGAGAGGATTGATTCCTCGGTGATGTAGCTGTGCTCGAGCCACCGAACACCCTCAGCAACAGCAGTTGCGGTAGCCCATGCATTTTTGACAAGAGAAAGGAGTGAGGAGATGCGGGTTTGTGATTGAGGAATGCCGTGAAGATGTGCGCGGATGAGCTGTAGGAAAAAGCGCTTGCTTGTTGTCAAGGAGCGAGAGTGCGGTGTCGCCGAATCACCAATGTAGGCAAGCGAGATAGATCCATTGGGTGTATTCTCGCCGGTGGCAAAGACAGATGGTTCGAAGTACAGTTCGAGGTCGTTCAGATGTGTCATCGTGATGCTAGTCGAGGAAGCAGAAGTGATGCACCAGCCGTGAGCCTGCTCAAGAGCGGTGAGTTTGGCTATAGTGCTATGTTAGTAGGACTCTCGTATGGAAGTCAGTTTTGACATACCTCTCAGACTGCTGACTTCACTAGTAGACCAGCCACGGCACTCTTCCCGCACGCGTTCAGCTCCTCTGATCTCTTCAATGCATTCGACTTTACGGTTCTTGGCTGCCTCTATGCGTGTCTCCTTGTCGACGAGCTCCTGTTGAAGTTGTGCCAGAAGCAACCTCTTCTCCTCCAACTCAGCATCCGTAGCCGTGAGCTTCTCTCTTGTTTGCTCGAGCTCTTCCCGGTCACAGCTGTTGAGTTCATCATGACGCTGCTGTAGTTGCTTACATTCAACGGAAAGATGTTCCTTCTTCTCAACTAAAGGCGGAAGAGTATCGTTAAGAAGCTTCTCCTGCTTGTGAAGGGTAGATTCGTCGTGGTTGAAGCAATCCATGGTGTGGAGAAGACCAGCTTTAAGATCGTGCAATAGCGTACTTCGCCATGTGTACCACTCTCCACGAGCTTCGAGGCGCGCGTTCGTCTTGAGATTCTTGAATTGGTTGTCCATGACCTTGCGCTGATCCGGGGGAGCAGTGAGGTACTCGCTGAATAGCAGTGGGTTCTCCTCTAGAACATTGTTTTCCAGAGTACGAACGAAGTGGCGACCGTCTGAGATATACTTCTTCATCTCGTGACACGCATGTTGGTACAATTCATACTCGGGTAGCGTGCAAGCACCAGCCACGACATAGCGGTCTAGAGATTCTTCTTTCTCCTCTATTTCCACGTCGTGGAAGGCGGCAGGGGCAGCAGTGTGGCGTCGCTTGGTCGTACTAAGATCCATGAAGCGAATTTTTGTCATGTCAAGAAAATCTTGTAGCGAGATACGCTCGACGTCCGACAAGTCCTCTGCCACATCGTTGTCATCGTTGTTCTCTTCTTCCGGCTCTGGATTTGCACCAAATGCAACGCGCTTCATCGGACTCATGCTCTTTCTGGGAGTCGCTTTCTTGGGAGTCGGTGTTGGCTGTTTTTGAGGAGACTGGGACTTCTTTGGCGTCATCCCTCGCTTCACCGGTGATGTCAAAGTCTGCTTTCGGGGGGTGGACAATAGCTTAATGTTGTTGCTCAAGAGTGCGGTGCTCTTGAGAGTAGGTTCCTGGCGTGGTGCGTTCAAAGGACTGAACTGTACTGCAGACAAGGAAGAACGGCGTCGGTCCAGGATTGTAGCTGCGATCGGGTCCTCGGGAATTGCCATGGGTGTCCTCTGTGGTGTCGGGTTCGTGGGTGTCGCAAGAGCGTCTTTCTCTTTCAAGGCACTCAGCGGAGTTCGACGCACGGACGGTGACGGCTCAACCTCTTCAATATCTTTTTGCCTTACAATCTCAGGAGTTCCAGGGTCAAGGGTCGGATATGACACCTCTCCTGATGTACTGGGTGTAATCTCCTGTAATACTTGAGGCGCGCTTTCGGCTTCGGCTTTAAGCATGGAACTTCTTTGACCAGGTGACTTCTTTGGAGATTTTTGCGGAGTTGGCGTCTTCTTTGCTGAAACGGGCGTAGCATCAGCAGGCGTCTCTGGTGATGTTGCTGAACTGTTAGCACGCCTGATGCCTGGCCCAACGATCTTGGTAAATTCCATGGAAAGATCCTCGTCCTCGACCTCATCCTCCAGATCCTGCTCTTCTGGTTCTTCTTGTACTTCCTGCGCTTGTGGCTTGTCGTTCTTGATACTGCCCACGGCCAGGGTAAAGTCCATAGTCGCATCATCAACAACGCTTGCAATGCTAGCACGCCTGGCGGGCTCAGGCTGAGGCGCTTTCTTAATCGCTCCAATCGCCATTGTAAGGTCCATGGTTGCGTCTTCTTGATCGTGCTCTTCGGATTGTCGACGCTTTCGCAAACTGGTACGCCGACTTCCAGGGCGCTTTGCAGGGCTACCTTGAGAATCATCCAGCAAGGAAACCCTCCTCTTAAGACTTTTCCTCTTGTTCGCTGGTTTGTATGATGCTGCCATTGCCTGTATACTTCCAAGTGGCATGGTCAGATCCATTGTCATGTCGTCGTCAATGTCCGAGTTTGCTGCATCAGAATGTTGTTGTTGCTGCTGCTGCTGTGGTTGTTGCGGTGGCGGCGGTACAATGCGACCCACTGCACGTGTGATGTCCATGCTCATGTCGTCGTCCTCGTCGGCTACCGTGCGTGCTGGAGAGAAAAGAGGGCTTGCGTTCTCCTTGTCGTACTGTGCGACAAAGCTCTTCTTTGCCCAAGGCTTGAAAGATGCAGTAACCTCGTCTTGTGCAATCTCCATAGTCATGTCTCCATCTTCATCATCAAAATCCAGCTTCTGAGTGCCTGCTAGGTTCGCAGCCTCTCGGAGTGCAGCATCTAATCGAGCGCTGCTCATGGACGAGTCCTCCACTTCTGGAGAAACACCCACGTTCTCTGTAGCATCATCAATATCCATATCCTCAGAGTCGCTGCTCTCGTTGTCATTTCCACCAGGCGAAGCATTATCTCCACTTAGTGGGCTGGAGGAGTAGACGTCGTCTGGGTTATTGAAGTTCATTGGTGGTATACCTGAACTTCGGCGGTTCTTCTTCTGGTGTTGAGCGCGCGCGCTTGCCGGTGACGAACCAGATTCTGGCTGAGGCTCTTCGGCTTGTTCTGGTGGTGTTGACGGAGGTTCGGCGGGGTCTGACGGAGGGGCAGGCGATGCCGGTGTCGATGCTTGTGAGACATTTGAGGCTCTGCGTGTCGCCTCCGATGAGGCAGAAGAGGTGGTCGCATCGCGCATATACTCGACTACGTCCCATGTGTGTAAAGTGGCTTCGGGGGCGAACGACACGCGTCGCCTTGCTACGTACTGGTCAGTCATGCCTCGAGACCATTTTCGCACACCCAACACGTACCCAGAGACTTGCGACGGGCTTCGCGCCGTTTCTTCTCGTCCTCATCATTCGAGGCTAGTATAGACTTGACGGCGGGGATGAAAGCAGACTATTTGGTAAGCAACATACTACTTCGCGATCGCATATGTGAGACATACCTTTCTGCGGTTTCCAGCCGTCTCCTTCAGTGGAGGTGCTTCCAATTCCCCTAAGCCTCCGGGACCGATACTCTTACTACGCGTCTTTTTCTTTGGTGACGGCGCTGATTTCTTCAGAGGTTGTGTAGAGGCCTTGAAAGAGCCATCCGCGATCAGACCATCGGCGATGTTCTCTTTGCCTGCTTGTGCCATGGTGATGTCGTGATTTCGTTTGTGGTGGTGGTGTTCGGGACGGCAGCACTGATGTAAACATGAAAGGCGCCAACCCAAACAATGGGGTATGAGGTCCGTGCACATATCGCCTGGTCCTGTGACCAGCGCTCCCCGCGTCGCGTCTTGCGTAGCATTGCATGGCATTGACGGCTGCAAGTCCTCGCAGCCGCGTTTAGTCTATCGTCTAATCAAAGTCTACCTAAACGCCTTGCTTCTGTATACATAGATGCACTGAAGTAGACTGGATCGATCCCCCTGAACCCTAGAACGGCACATCCATGTCCTCAACACTCTCCTCCTCCTTCTTTGCCCCGCCCTCCTGTTCCTGCAGGACCTCTTTGATGAACCCAATCAATGCATTGACGCTAGCCTTCTGTGTGCTCGGTAGGAAGTGCCCGCCAGGATGATACACAACATACTTCTCCTCGCTGTGTTCACAAGCCTGGACCAAGGCCAAACTCCTTGCTTCCTCAACCACAACGTCCTGTGTGCCTAGAAAATGCAACATCGGTGTGCTGATCTTGGGCTCATAGAAAGCGTGATACGGGTTCTTCCCACGCGCTGCGAAGCCACTATAACTGACCGCAAACTTCAGCGGCGGATGTATGGTTCCCTCAACATAGCCAGTGTCTTCTTCAAAAGACTCTGGGAACCTCATGCCGCCCTCTGGGTAAAGTTTCTCGAATGCAGCGCGACGGTTGGGTTCGAGTAGACTCGCGACCATGGCTGCCGCGGCACCGCCCTGGGAGAACCCCACGACACCGTCAAAGGGACCTTGTTCCTTCAACACGTTTGCGATATGAGCCAGACCTTGCTCTATGCCTTCGTATGTGTATGGTTCCCCTGAACCTTTCCTCCTCCACCACGCCCACGCATCGATCTCCTGCTCCTCTCCATCCTTTCCGTCCTTGCCCTCGCCATCTTTGCCCGTGCTACCTGCTAGGAACGATTCGTCGGCGGGTGTCAACCGTATCGGCGCGGTAGGATACACGAGTTCTATGCCCTTAGGGAAGGCTTTAGATAATGTTTTACGCAAAGCACCCGTTTTCGCCTGGAACAGAGGCCCTGACTGTGTATAGCCGTGAAGCATCAGTAGCTTTATGGGGCGGTTTGGGGGCGGAGCGGCGGCCATAGTGCGCCAATGAGAGCGGACGCGGAAGTTGGCGAGCGTGTAGAGACGAGGGTCTGCGAGGGCGACGAAGTGGCGGAAGCGCATGTACAATATGCGCTAATGGATGAGAGCGTTGTATCGGAAAGCTAGCTTGTGAAGAGTGATGCCGAAGAGCCTGAAGTTTTGAGGTCTCCTTCGGAATGATACCGAATCTCGGAATAGCCGGTTGCGTCATACTAGTCCGGTGGAGCCTTCCCTCTTCGACCTCCAGGTACACAGAAAACAGCACGGCACTTTTTGGATGGTTGAAGTCAAACATAGTTTCCTTGAACATGAAGAGTGTATTTGGTCTTTATACGCGTGATTTATGCACCAATGTCACTCATAGATTGTTAGATTTGCTATGGATCCAATACGGCAAAGGCGCCCAACACACATCTACGCGTATGTCCTCAATCTATGAGATTTGGTGAGCCAGACAACCTGGAACTATCGTCGAAACCAGTGTCTTCCGTAACCTTCATATACTTACCCCATGGGTTTGTCGATTTCGATGCCCTCGAAGTCCGTGAAGCCACGGAAGACGGTGTCTCCGACCTCCTTGACTTGTTGGCACGGGGGACGAGAAAGTTGTTGACATCGCCAGTATCAAAATGATCGGTATCAGAGACGGAAGAGCTCTTCTTGCCTTGAGTCTCCGTGTCGGAATCCTGGCACACTGTGGAATTCTCACCGGAGTATACAGATGAGGCCGAATATAGCGAAGGTGCATGCGTGCCCGGATAAGGACTCATGGGTACCTCGGGATCTTTATCGTAGTGCCATTGCAGCGGCCGGTGCAATCTCCGATGATTGTTCTCCCTCATTAGGAACGAACGTTCAATAAGTGTTTCGATGTCGCTCTGGAGACCATTAGCACTAGTCTTGTAACTGCAAGCATCGTGACCTTACATATGTCAACCTGCCATCAAGAATGTATGTTCCTGCTTCATTGGTTTGATATCCGAAGCCCAATTCCTTGAGTGCGTACTCTTCGATCAAAGCTTTTTGAATAGTGATGGACTCCTTGCCTGGAGCTGTTGTCGAGGGTCGAAATTGCGGCTTATAGTCAGGGCTGAAGAAGTAGGTATGAACGGGCTGACTACCTAGATAGTGAGTCTGTCCTTTTCCTAGAAGATCTTAGTACATTGCCATCGAGAACCAGCGACCAGGCATTACCGGATATACGAGTGTATGTTGGTCTCCAACCGGCTTGCTTCATAGTCAACAAAAGTTCACTGCCTAGACTAAGCGCGGATGACTCCCAGAAGATGGTGCTTCTAATAATCTGATCACCTGCATCTTCGTACTTGTACGGTACTAGCTGACCGAAGTCTAAGGGTTGTGGTTCTTCAGGATCTTCGAAAGCGGAATTGATCCCAAATGCAGCCAGCGAGGTCTGTAACTCGGCTATTTTGTGGGAGTGTCTGTCGGATTGGACGGGGAAAACGATCATCTGCTGAGATCTTGGATCCGTATCTGAGTTGTTTGTGTTGCCCAGTGAAGTACGCGAGGACTGGAGAGAGGCTGTTGAGCTGCGAAAACTATCATGGCGGGGGCGTCTTTGAGGCCAGTAATGGTCTGTTGTCCTATCCGACCTCGTTTCCAAGCGCGCAAAGCCATCTTGCAGCGACGAATAAGACGAGGACAGAGGAGAAGCTCGTTTACTAGTCACGTATTCTGTCACGTCCACACTACGATTGCCCTCCGCAATGCGAGTGCGACGAACTGGCTGGTCGTTGTCTTGGTCCAACTTTTGCTGCTCTTGCAACCCACGGACTAGATCTTCATACCGCCGTAACTGTAACTTGTGTCCTTCCTCAGTCTTTCTCCTCTCTTCTACTACCATGGCATCAGCTCGTTTCCGTGCTTCCTTTTCTGCTTCCAGCCTCTCAATATTCAGAGCGATCTGAGCTGCTTCTTTCGCCGACTGTGCTGTTGCGATTTCTTTCGCTGCCGAAGCTCTCACTTCTTCAGCTTGCTTTGCGTTCTTTTCTTCTATAGCCTTCTTTTCCTCCTGCCACATAATTTCCATGCGCCTTTGCTCTGCTTTTTGATTCGCTACAAGGCTTTCAAGTCGCTGCATTGTTTCACCATCTTTTTCACGGGCCTCTTGCAGTTGCTTAACATACACCTCATTTGCTGCATTAGCTCGTTCTCGTTCGTTTTGAACCTCGCGCTCTTGCAATATTTGCGCCAGTTTCGAAAATGGTAGCTGCTCATACTCGATTCGTGATTCTTGGTTGCGCTTTTCAAGTAGCTTTTCTACCGCAGCGAGAACAGCATTCTCTTTGGCTTCTATCTCAGGCGTCGTAAAACTCTTGTCTACCGATTGGGCTGAATTTGGTGGAAGTGGAGGTGGAGGTGGAGGTGGAGGTGAAGGTGGACTTTGGGCAGTGGCTGGTGGAGGACTTGGAGGAGGCGATGAGTATGACCAGTGTCGATCAGCTGATACATATGCTTGTTTCGGTGGTTCTTGATGGATTGGTGGAACTGGTGGCCTTTGTGCCGAGTCTCGCCAAGGTGGCATAAATCCATAACTGACAGGTGGCGGGTGGTAGCCAGGTGCGTAAGGACTGAAATAACCTGAGGTGGCTTTGTTATAGTTGAAGTCATCATTCGGTGGGCTTGAAACTGAGTCCGTTTGGTCGCTATGAATCGTATGAACTCTGGATGTAGGCCTTCTGACTTCGGCATCTACAGATCGCGGTTTATCTGTATGCCTCCTCTGTCTAAGCGGACGTGGAGTGGGCCGGCTCATCGGTGGCGTTGCATCCTGCCATTTCACATGTGACTCCTCAGCATTTCGCTTGGACCTACCGTCGGTGTAAGTTGGTGAGTATCCATCTGTATCCGCCCACAGGTTGGTACGATCAGAAGACTTTGTGTTCCGTTTTCGGGCGCGTTGAACATTGTCACGGAAATTCCACGTCGGTACATTGACACCGACAGTACTGTCCTCTTCGGCGCTCTGGAACTCTTCGTCATCGGATCTGACAGGTGCGTTCTGCTGTTCCCACTGAGCAAAAGATAGCTCGTCCTCCTTTCTTGCCTCTTCCACCATCCTCATTACTCCTTCCCTCCAGTCGTCGCCATCGTGGCGGGTGGAGCTAAGGCTTATTTGGTCGGTCGTGAGCGTCGTCCATGAAGAGAGCAGTCTGTCTACTACTAGGGCAGGCTCTGTTTGTCTGCTCCAAACAATCAAGGCTTTTTCATCTGGACCTGATGATCGCCTGTTATTCTGAATGCCATCTTCAGAAGAAGAGGAGTAAGCGCTTCTCGCAGTTGTCTCCGTGCTTTCATCGGTGACGGATGCTTGATGGAGTCGACGTGTTCGCGGGTTCAGCACTGGTGGAGGATCTGCGTCATCTGAGCTAAACACGAAATGGTAGAGCCATGTAGCAGTGTCAAAGGACCCTTCTTTCCATACATCTATTTCTGCGGTGGTGTAGTGTCGTTTGGCAGTCTCGGATTCATCTTCTTCCTGTTGCGCACTCTCAACTACTTGCCGGTTTGCCTGGACAGCACTTTCCACAATCTTACGGAACCGATTGGACTTTGGGATGGGTCGGGCTTGGGCGTCGGGGTCCAGCTCGGAGTATCTGACCGTGTAAGCAATTCAAACTCTTCGACAGCATCGTAGATAGTGCTTACTCTGGTGGTCGAACAACCTCTTCTCTTGCAAGACGAACGATGTTCAATTCCAGAATCAGGGCGGTCTTGATGCCTTCGACCTTCTTGAGTAGACCTTTCGCCTTGGGCTTGTTTATCAACCACTTCAGACCTGCTAGTTTTTGAGGCGTATCTATGAGTTTTTTTATTTCCGCATCTACTTGCTTGCACCGCAGTATGATCGTCTGAGTGTTTCTGAAAAGTGCAGGCTTGCACAAAGTTTGATGAACACGGATGATATCTGCGAGCGTTTGCAAACTTTCCGCGAGTAAGGATATCTCCTCCGCTGCTCTTGTTAAGCTGAATGTCAGTCGAATACACGAAGAGGCCGCGTACCGATTTCTGCTATCTCTCGGGGTGCATTCTTGAGTGTCTGAACTACGCTGAAGAGAGCGAGCGAAAGTTGCGCTGCACTTGCGCCAACGGTGAGCGCGGACGCGATGATGCTAAGGGGATCTGCCATTTGAAAATGAACGATGCGAACGGCTGTTCGGTGGGTGCGGGGAGCGACGTGCTAGCTATGGAAACATGAAAAGGTAGCCTTGTGGCTTACACAGCCTCCGAAATGCTCCTCTGCAGTATTACATAGCCTCGCCGGTCCGCTGCAGGCTGACAGCCAGCAATTGGCTGTTGTGCCATGCAGACTACACTTTCAAGCATTGATTGCATTCGACTGTGGCGGCTGAACGTGTGGGGGCCAGAAAGTGCTGCAAGCTGCGTACGGTTATGCAGGTAGAGTGGATATTCAGCGATAACCTTCGGCTTACAGAGACCCCAGATGCACGATGGGTGAGCGGGTGGATCCTCAATCCATGTTCAGAATGGGGTTGAACGTTGAAGCGATATGGTCATCTCTAGTCCAGTGGTCGATGACTTGATCTCGGTATTGAAGCACTGGAGGTAACATAAGGCTGTTGAGACATTGTGACTACTATGGCTAAGAAGTTAACTATACCGGGATTTGTCTCAATTAGCTGATGACGATTCATATGTTCTGCTCAGGGTTTCTCGATATGTCTGTAGTGTTGCGCTACTCGCCAGATAGCGCAATCAAATACTGAGTGGTCATGGTGGCTTGTTGGAGTGTGTAAGGCTGACAGGGAGACGCGATGTGTGATAATGCGGGATGTCTGAGTGGCTAGCGCGCCCCGGCTCTTGGCAGTGCGTACATGCGTCCAAAAGTTATCACCTCACGCCGACTGCCCGCTACATCTCAACCCTATGCCGCCATGAGCTTTCGACCGATACTGCCCCGGCCAATTGCAGTACGGGACACGAACAAACTATGTCTGCGATGTTGGCGAAGACTCGCAAAGGCGCCGCTGCAGTCGCGGAGACCGATTTCTTCCAATCCGTCGCATAAAGAGAACGCCATAGCTGCCACGAGAGGCGGGGGTGCTTTCGGAGATGGGTACTTCCGGGCGAATCCGATATTAAGAGACACGTTTTGGAAGTCAAGACCAGAACTGCAGAGCTCAATCTTGTCCATAAGATCAGCGAATGCAGGAGGGCAGCAAGCGGCGAAGGCGGATGGCGTAACTGGCACAGAGGAAGTGCTGCCACATAGGCGGCGGAAGAGGGCAAAGGAGCAGGCAATGGAGACTCCGGAGACGGCATATCCAATTCCACACGATGCATCCTCCAAGCTGGCACACATATCCTCGAGCCTCCCGCAACAGTCACTCAAACGCATGATGACCACCTACCTGTCGCTATCCAAGCCCCGACTCTCCTTCCTCGTAGTCCTCACCGCGACGGCCGCATACTCGCTGTACCCCGTACCCGGGCTGCTTGCACCCGCAGCAACAGCCACCCCGTCTCTCTCGACCCTCACACTTTTCTTCCTCACATCCGGCACTGCGCTGTGCTCGGCATCCGCGAATGCCTTCAACATGATCATGGAACCCGCACACGATGCCAAAATGACCCGTACACGCAATCGACCACTCGTTCGGAAGCTCATCAGCCCACGAGGCGCCATCATCTTCGCCGTCGCGTGCGGGGTGCTCGGCACTGGCGCCCTCTACTACGGCGTCAACCCCACGACAGCGTTTCTTGGCGCTGCCAATATATTCCTGTATGCGGGCGTGTACACTCCCATGAAGCGCATGCATGTACTGAACACCTGGGTTGGCGCCATTGTAGGAGGCATCCCACCGCTCATGGGTTGGACGGCTGCGGCAAGTCAATACGCCCATGACGGCACATGGGAAGAACTGTTGTTCGGAGAGGGCTCCGCTGGCGGATGGCTATGCGCTGCACTCCTATATGCATGGCAGTTCCCTCACTTCAATGCGCTGAGTTGGGCTATCCGCGACGAGTACAAGAATGCGGGCTATCGCATGTTAGCCTGGGTAAACCCCGCAATGAACGGACGAGTCGCACTGCGATATTCTATCATGATGTTTCCCGTTTGCATCGGCTTATCATACTGTGGCGTAACTGACTGGAGTTACGTGGTAACGAGCAGTGTTATCAACGGCTGGATGACGCTCAAAGCTTGGCAATTCTGGAGAGCCGAGGGACAGAAGGGAACGGCAAGAGGTTTATTCTGGGCTAGCATCTGGCACCTTCCCATAGTCATGGTCCTAGCTATGGCTCAGAAGAAGGGGTTAGGAGAGCGTATTTATCGGAGTATATTCGGGTACGCAGACATCGATGAAGAAGACTTGTACTACGAAGCTGGCGAGCTTGAAGAGGAGGAGCAGAAACAATTAGCCGTCGTCGAAGGCAGGCGAGCCGCATGAATCAGGCGTGCTATAGATCCATATTCCTCATTGGCTTAGCGCGGCATTCGTATCCGCCATTCCCTCACGCCCGTTGATGATTCGATCGACGGGTACATGTTTCTATACCCCACTGTATTATATGTCCTCCACATGCATCGGAACGACCGTGTTGAGTTTTACGAAGTCAAGCTAGTGCTTGTGGTGTCCCTCTCGCCAATGCGGATTCCTTCAAAGTACGCCTCGCTGTTGGTGCTTATGTCCACCAGGCCAACACATTCTTGAAGCAACTCACATAATGTCGCCTCGTCTGATACACCTGTAACACGTTTTTGTAATGCCAAATTCTGTGTACGCTAAGATCGTCACTGAAGGCATGAGTCTGCTGTAACTTTAGCAAGAGGTGCTCATAATGTCTCTTTGAGGGCATTGCCGCAAGAGTATTTCCACACTGGGAGACGTCGCGTTATACGACTCGTATATAGATCGACGTTGGCAGTCATATTACTAAACGAGCTTATTGTGCCCTCGGCGATGAACCCACGGACGGCTCTACGCGGGGCCGCCCTACTTTTATCCAATCTACACTGCTTACCCACAGCGTGTCTCTGCTCAATATCCATTCGTCCGCCCCTCTGAAGACTTCATAATCTTCTTACTGTCTTCATTTGCGATACAGAACATCAACATAACTTCTTCTAGCGACCATGGCTACTATGACTACTACCCAAGAGATGCTCCACATGGTTGGAAATAAAGATGTCGATGTCAAACGAGACGACCTCCCCGCAAAACTTACAGAAGACTTTCTGTCTGATTTCCCTAAACTTTCCAACGAACAGGCCGGTCACCTCCGCCATTTCTATAATCTGGCTTCCCAGCCCGATGGCGAGTGGCACCATATGGGCACCCAGGACCCCGGTCAAGAGTGGCTCGATGCTTACCGCTATCAACTGGCGACCATGACATATGCCGCTGGAAGCGCTCACTATCATCGACTACCTGCTCTACGATCAATTTTCAAGAACTTACTAGAGCAACTCATCCACAAGATGCTACGGAGGGAAGTCTGGGGTTATTGGTACCTGACCAGCCAGAGCGGAAAGTTTGTGGATCCCGACTTGGTTGAGATGCGCAAACCTTGGGCGGACCCAAATAAGCAAGAGAATATCATGGTGAGTGCATGAAACACTAAAATGGTTTAACGTGGTCTAACCTTAGTGTCTCCAAGTACTCTGGACATCTCCTCCTCATGGTCTCATTACACGCAATGCTCTTCGACGACGACAAGTACAATCAGCCGGAGGCGCTAACGTTCCATTGGGATCCGATATTCTGGGGTTTTGGGCCAGAAAAATTTACCTACACCCGCAGTTCCCTTCAGGATGCTATTCTTGCCGAGATGGAGCGGCATAACTGGAAGGGCGTCTGCTGTGAGCCGAACAGCATTTTCATCGTCTGCAACCAATTTCCGGTGCGATTTGAGCCATTGAAAAACTGGGGGAGATTTGCTTACAGCTTTTAGATTATTGCGATGCGGTACAATGACATCCGCGACGGAACAGCTGTGGCTGACAAGGTTCTAAAGAATTATACTGCGGCTTGGGATAAGGAGGGCGGCTTCCTGCAGGATGATAAGTTTGTCATCAATTGGTATATGGTAAAACAAGATCGTATAGTACCCGGAGGGGTCGGAATCACCGCCTGGTAAGCCGAGACGTTGCTTATAGCATGAGTTGATATCAGACCGTTGACAGTACAGAAGGACATCTGCATTCATGAACGGCTGGAACTCTGAATCTGTCCATTCGCTCTTCCCAGAGCAAGCTCTTGGCTTCTTCACGAAGGCCTCCGATGGAAGAGTGAATGTGAACGACGAGAAGGTCGCCAAAATTATTCGCGAGCTCACCAAAAGTGAGGGCGTGGATCCGCAAGCTTGGAGCACCAAAAAAAGGGCACAGCATTTGGCGAAAGAACTTGAAGAAACGCCTGGTATGCCATTTGCGCAGCCGGTATATGGTTATGTTGCTCAGTGGGTATCTGAGGTTGCAGACCCAGCCCTGAACGATGGTCTTCTGCGTCACGCAGACATGTTCTTCAACCCAACGTGGGAGAATGGTGGCCTTTTCTACCCACGTAATGACAGCCAGGCGGACGAGCATGGGAACTGGAAGTTCGTAGACCCTTTCACAGGCAATGGTGCCATCGCCTATGCGCGCCTCAACGTTCCGGACGGCCAAAAAAAGATGTGGGAGAAGCCGTGGTCGAGGGAGCATTTCTCAAGCTTTCCGTTCGTCGATGAGATCAGCCTGGCTTCCAACGTCGACTTCCTTAGGGGCAGTTGGGATTCAGGGAAAGGAGTTTTCGTTGTTACTATGCGGACTTGGGATGGCTCCACGAAGAGGTAAGTTGTAGTTTCCATCACATACTTTGAGGGAAAAACTGATGACATCAAGCGTCCGGCTCCTTGTCAAGAACCTGCCTGCTGGGCGATATGGTATCTATCGGAATGGACATATTACAGAAGCGCAGGATGTAAACGACGGCTCGCACAACGTGGAGATAGTTATCGAAGTGGGAGCGGAAGAGACGGACATCGTACTACTAAAGTCAATCTCCTAGGCCTCGGATCGTCCTAAAATCAGGTAGTAGACGTGAGAAGACATTGATGTTCACTCCCGAGGTAGTATCTGCACACGTCTTACACACCAGAATTGCTCTCACTTACATTTTAAGTTAAATCTGAAGAAAGCAACTATCCAAAGCATGCTGTGTCGATGGCAAGTATGGTTCAACATAAATCCCGGTAGAGCAGCGGCAAGGTCTCAGTCGAACTTGCCATTACCCGACTGAAAGCGCATGCAGCGTATCTCACTTTCCACATGGCAAGCTGCTCATGCCCATATTACGCATTGAGGGAAAGATCGATATTTGGGTAACATCCAATGTTCTTCGACGAACCTTTTGCTCCTTGTCAACTCTCAAACGCTTCCTAATACCACCTCATTATCCCACAGCTACCTACGAGACGCCTTAGATTTACTTATCATTATTCTGTTGAGCCTTCCAACCAACACAACTCGTAGGATACTGCTCAAAGAAAGAAGATGTTTAGCATCGCAATTCTTTCGCTCGCCACTCTTTTCTCTCAGCATGCCTCCGGTGCACCATACCCGCAACCAAATTCAACGTTCCTGGAAAACCATACAATCTGTAACTCGACCGCTCATCTTTGTGAAGGCGATCTCACTGCTGCAAACCCTCCTCCCCTCAACTCGACTGAATATGTATGCCACGAAGTTTACCCAGCCGATCTCACTGTCCTCAACGCGCGCTATCCCGACTACGATATCGACCACCTACATCAAGCCAAGCAATTCTTCATGCTACGCCGCCAACTCAAGGATGCTGGTGAGATCGCTACGCGAGTACAGTTTCAGGGCCTACCCGACAGCACATCGAACTACACCTGCCGTCTAGAATTTGTGCTCCCACGCCTCGAGCTCCAAAAGATCTCCGGTCCAAACCCAAGCTTCAACATATACCAAGTCGCACGAGAAGCTGGTGCGATCGCTACATGGAACACATATGAAGAAGAGAAGGATGCCTTGTTATTCGGTACGGTCAATGGTCAAAGCCAAGCGCTAGAGAGAACAAGGAGTGTCGGCGGCGTCGCCGCCATCAATGCGACAGCATGCAATCAGACATTGTCATTCCAGATGGCCATGATGTATGACAGTCCGTCCGCGCCGAACTACTGGGAATTCTCCAATGTTGCACCTCCTGCGTTCCCGGTGCAGGGCTTCAGGATCGTATACGGATGTTGAGTGAGACACAGCGTTTGTGGACATAGCGACGAAGTAGCATTAGCCATCCAGTGAACCAACGTTCATGTCATCAGTGCTTTAATGCAACAATTCCGTTCTTGTGGACTTTGTTGTGGCTACTATGTGATCGATTGTGTCCACCTGTCTCTTACCATACCGCACATTGTGCATCACATGTTAGCCTCCCAAGGTTCTGAGCAATCTTGCATACTGGATGAACACAATATCGAATGACGAACACTTGACGAGGAGAAGCAAATGAATGCTGGAAAAAAAAGATGCCCAGCTCTTTCTTCTCTACAAGAGTCTGACTGTACAGGCAGAGTTGGAACCATACGGGCTTGTGCGTATCTCGTATCACCGCGTCTTGCCATCTTCAAAAAAGCGATTACTGTGAATGACGTCATTACGGGGTGACGATTACCCGCGTTTAGCCTCGCAAGGTCTACCCATCCAAGCCTTCGCGACCGCGTGTAAATCCTTCTCATGCGCATCGCCCACCACTAAGATGACCTTGGAATCGTTGAGGACCAGTATAGACAAGTGTGTTTATACGATGTTTGGGGCTATTCGTATCCAAGGGCATCAGCCTCTGTTTGACAATATAGGTAGTACTGGTGTCGTGCTTACTCGGGACGAAACCCCGTGTGCAGCCTGCCTTGTCTCGTTCAAACCATGACCACACAAACTCCAGTAGAGAATGACCAGTTTGTTCCAGAGACCGTCGCGCAGCATTCCATGCTTCAGCAAGCACACGCTGCGGCCGCCGCTGCAAGCCAGACTGAAACTGCAGGACCAACGAGACAAGAGGTCCCTTTACAGCAAACCGACCTCCTCACTGCCGATGTGAGCGATGATGAAGTTCCACCCCCTCCGTACGGCGATATCTATGGCGAAATTCGAAACGAAAAAGACGGTTTAGGCACTAGCGCATCTGTGACCGACGACGGTCGTGTCAATATCCGCATCAATCAGCTCAACCGTCGTTTATCCCAGGTCTTTACTCCTGCTTTACGTGACCACCTCAAAAGTGTCCAAGACAGCAGTCCGGCTCCTCCCACATACATACCGCCCTCGTTAGGAGGTGAGGAAGGGGCTCCTCCACCCCCACCCTTGAATGTTGTTATTCAGGTCGTCGGCTCGCGCGGAGACGTGCAACCCTTCGTTGCGCTGGGGAAGGTCTTGAAAGAGACCTACGGCCATCGTGTACGTTTAGCGACTCATCCAAATTTCAAGGAGTTTGTTCAAGAGAATGGCCTGGAGTTCTTCAGTATTGGCGGGGATCCTTCCCAGCTAATGGCATTCATGGTCAAGAATCCTGGATTGATGCCGGGTTTCCGTAGTCTAGCAAGCGGAGATGTTGGTCGGCGAAGAAGAGATGTTGCCGAATACATTCAAGGCTGCTGGCGATCGTGTTACGAAACAGGTGACGGCATCACCAACGACAACGCTTCAGATCAATCCGTGAACGACCATGGTCCAGAAGCCACAGCAAGGTCTTTCCCCTTTGTTGCAGATTGTATCATCGCGAATCCGCCGAGCTTTGCACATGTTCATTGCGCAGAGAAATTGGGGATACCGCTTCATATCATGTTCACTATGCCATACTCTCCCACCCAGGCGTTCCCTCATCCTTTGGCCAACATCCAGTCTTCCAATGCGGATCCTCAACTTACGAATTATATAAGTTATGTCATGATTGAAGCCCTCACGTGGCAGGGCTTGGGGGACATTATTAACCGATTCCGAGCCAAATGTCTCGGCTTAGATCCCGTAAGTATGATTTGGGCTCCTGGAATGCTTCAGCGTCTCAAAATCCCTCACACGTACTGCTGGTCTCCAGCACTGATTTCGAAACCAAAAGACTGGGGTCCGCACATTTCCATCTCGGGGTTTTATTTCCTCAATCTAGCCTCCGGCTACACCCCTGCTTCTGATCTCCAGGCTTTTCTTGACACTGGACCACCTCCTATCTACATAGGATTTGGGAGCATCGTTCTGGACGATCCAAACGCCATGACAGAACTCATTTTTGAAGCAGCGAAGAAGATTGCGGGTGGTCAGCGCGTCCTACTTTCAAAAGGGTGGGGAGGTATGGGTGCAGACGAGCTTCATGTACCTGAAAACGTCTTCATGTTAGGTAATGTGCCGCATGATTGGCTTTTCAAACAAGTGTCTTGTGTAGTTCACCATGGTGGCGCAGGGACCACAGCGGCAGGTAAGTTGTAGCTGTACAACATGCATGTGATACATACACTGACTTCGTATCTCCACATCTGCAGGTATTGCAGCTGGCAAGTCAATCATCTACGTTCAACATGTTGGTTAAATATTGACTTAACGCAGGTCGGCCAACATTGGTCATTCCTTTCTTCGGGGACCAACCTTTCTGGGGCGCTATGATTGCACGAGCTGGTGCTGGCCCTGATCCGATCCCATACAAGCAACTCACGTCAGACAACCTAGCAGACGCTATCAATTTCTGCTTGAAGGCCGAAAGCCTGAGCCGCGCTGAAGAGCTGGCAAGCAAGATCGCAGCGGAGCGAGGCAGCGATATGGGTGCTCAGTCATTTCATCAGTATCTCGAAGTTGACCGACTGCGCTGCACACTTGCACCATCCCGGGTAGCTTCGTGGCGCCTCAAACGCACGCAACTCAAGCTGAGCGCTTTTGCTGCCTGCACTTTAGCAAACGCAAATCTCTTGGACTTTCACGACTTGAAACTCTTTAGATCACAGGAGTACTGCACAGATGAAGGGCCGTGGGATCCCGTATCTGGGTTCTTCACAGCGACTTGTAGGGCATTTGGCAGCATGTCTATGGGCGTAGCTGATCTCCCTTCGGAGACGTTCAAAGCTGTACAAGCTCCTTTCAAGTACAACCGATCACAATCTCAGGTATCAGTACAGACTGTCGCAAAGAGAAGTGAGACATCGCTTTTAGGGGAGAGTTCAGCTGCGTCAGCTATGCAGCAACCTCTTACTCGCGCTCAGACTGTTCCCAACCTCCCTAGTACAGCACCTCGCACGTCAAGTATAGGATCAAGCTCCAAGTCGGTTCGCAAAGATCGCGATATGATGCGCCCTACTGGTCTACGTACAAGCAGAGGTTTTGGGCGCATTGTCAAGGAGGGTATACAATCGCCTATGAATATGTCAGTGGGTATCACTAGGGGCTTTCACAATGCTCCCAAGCTCTGGGGCGACGACACTGTACGCCCTCAAGAAAAGGTCAGCGATCTCAAGTCAGGCATGAAAGCGGTAGGAAGAGAGTTTGGGTTTGGCTGGTATGACGGCGTTACTGGTCTAGTTACCCAACCCTGGAAAGGTGCTCAAAAGGAAGGTACCAGCGGCTTTTTCAAGGGAATTGGCAAAGGCATTGGAGGTTTTATTACCAAACCAGGTGCTGCCCTCTTTGGCATCCCTAGTCATATGATGAAGGGAGTGCATAAGGAGGTACAAAAGCTATTTGGTAACAACGTGCAAACCTACATTGTCACATCTAGGACAGCTCAAGGATATCAAGAGTGGTTACAGAGCTCCGATGCAGAAAAAGAAGACGTTATCAACCGCTGGAAGATGATCCAGAAATATTTGAAGAAGAAGCACAGCGCGGACGAGATGGTACAAGACATATTGGATGCACAGCGGAAAGGAAAGACGGATGATGGTGAGACCTACCGGGATTTTGTAGCTGCTACATGTTCAGCTCAATCCACAGATAGTCTTGTCCAAACTGCCGGAAACGATACGCTTACCACAAGAAACTCGCAGTACCCGTTACATACCACTGATAGCAACGAATTGCTAGGAGCGGTTGATATCAGTGGCACTGTCCGCCGATCCTTCCAAGAAACGTCACGTGGAAATCCGGAAGATCGTTCCAGTATGAATGCGACGCAAGACAACATATCTCCACTTGAATCCCAACGACAAGGAGATATGGATCATGAAGCAGATCAAGATTTACTCAAGGCAATGGCGTCTAGCGAAGCTGAAGCCCAACGACACGCAAGAGAAGCTTGGGAATATGAGGAACAGCTGAAGCAGGTTATGGCCCAAAGTTTGAAGGAGCATGGACGGATGGGTAGCGAAAGTAATCAGGAGGAACTCAACAATGAGCGGACAAGAGGGATGACACAACAAACAGCAAGGAAGGCGGTACCTATAACTAATGGGTCATCGAGTGCCCAACCACCTCCTTCATATGACCACGGCCACCTTGCGGGTACTACGCAGGACGAGTTTCAGGCACAATACCTAGGGGAGAAAACAGCGCAAGAGAAAACGGAAGAAGAGATTGTAATGGAGTATGTTAAGAAGCAGAGTCTTTTGGAAGCTCATCATCAAAACAAAGGCAAAGGCCGCGCTACAGCAACAGAGGACGATGAGGAAGAGTTGCAAAAAGCGTTGAGCTTGAGCATTCAAGAACGTTAATGATACGCGAAGTGTGGTTGGGGATAACCTTTAGCCATGCTGTCAGTTCTGTTCACTTTGTATGATGAGATCAAATTTGGTATAGAGTGTGATGCGAATACATTGCTCTTAGTCTTCATATCTTTCGTATACTATATATACAATACTGATACATGCCCTTTTTCCTACATTCTATTCGTGGACTACGCCTTTGCAGTCTCAGTCGCCATCATACGGCTTGGTGCTTTGACAACGTTAGCTTCATCTCCTGGGCTGCCTTTGAAAGTCCATGTCCCATTCGCCACTTCATCGTCTGTAGCGTTATCCAGCCTCTTCAGCTCTTTCCTCATGTATCCTACAATCTGCGCTAGCTTCTCGAAGTCGACATCTTCCTTTGCGCCAAGCAGATTTCTCCAGACAGCCGCGGCAAGCATAGCGTCACCCTTCATCAAACCCTCATCGTACGACAGGAGCACGGCACGCCATTGTGAGAACATGTCCTTTAGGTGCTTCTGACGCAGCGAATTGGCGTTGAACTTGTGCCATATCACAAGACGGTCCTCGGCGGCGTAGAAGGCCTGGTTGGTGAGGTGCTGGATCCACACAGGCGCATGTGACTGGGGGAACATGCGGAAGCGGACTTGCAGCATGTACATGTGGATGAAGGTGATTTGGGCCCAATTTGAGAAAGTCGGCTTCAGTCCGAGGGCTGTGCAAGTTGTTAGCGAATGCCTGCCTATAGTCATTTCCAGCACCTACTGTCGTACCACCAGCCCTCGCCCTCGCCCAGGTGCACACCATTCTCGTCGACTGGTATCTCACCGCGCTTCAGCAGCGCCTGGGGTATTTTGTATTCACCCGGCTTCGTGCATTCCTTGATGAGGTCTCGTGTTGCGCCATATGCGACGTAGGTTTCGGTCATCAACGGTGCCTTTTCGCGCAGCCTCTGAGCGAGTCCAGTCACACCGGACGCAACAGCGGGATGCGGCTTCTTGATTGCCTCGGGTCTGACGTCGGCCGAAAGATGTTGCGACGCATAGTATGAGGTAGGCGAAGTGGTAGAAATTGTTCGTCGCGCTTGGCGGAGAGATGCTCTATGGGTCCGCTACGACAATTAATATCCGCTTTGGTCATGGGTGGTGGCTATGTACCTGTAGCAGCGAAGACGAAGACCTCAATAGGGCCTTGGAGCAGGCTGTGCATGTGTAGGTGGACGACATTGCTGGGGATGTTTGTTGGAGCGGGCGTCCGTAGTAGATAATCAAAAAGTCGCGAGTCGCGCCCTCCATCGATGACGGCACGACCCCGGCCACCAACACCACCAATGAGCATCACCACAAAGCGCCTCCCCAGCGGGGGAAACCACCAACAACACCAGGACGGGCTCATGTTCGGAAATCTGAATGATATGTTTTCCCGCATCCTTCAAAAATCATTGTGGCGGAGCTACCAGCCTTGATCCAAACGTATTTAGGCCTTCAGGGCGTCCAGTATCATCAACCCCGTATACCAAGCTGGAACTTCGGCTACTGCATGTGACCCCAGAAGCTTGGTATGGCTAGTTCCGAGGAGCAGGGGCGGCAGCGAAGCGATGTCGCCGTCGATGCATGACCCCTTTCGCAGCCTTATATACACTCGTGCAATGCAAGCCTTTCTTCCAGATTGATCATCTCCAGGCTCCCATTACCGAGTTCAACGTCACCTGATCATGGCATTGTCGGCCTCTGCGACTGGCTCTCGAGCTAATCGCCGGGACAACTCCGTGTACATTGATGTGCTCAATCCGCCAGTCTTCTACACAAGTGGAGATCGCATCCAAGGCAGACTACTCGTGGAGCCCGCATCGCGACCTCATCGCATAAGCATAAGCTTAAAGGGCTTCTCTGTACTTGTGGATGACAACGCCAGGAGTTTCCGAGTCGACCTTTGCGGAAGTTCCCAATACCTCTACACATCCACAGGCGATGACTTCCAGCGTCTCACCAGAAACGCGACAGATCCCACCAAAGTTGAATTGCCTTTTTCCTTCGACGTTCCGCAGCATGCGACTCTACATCCACCAGCCGAGAGACTCTGGGTGCATCCAACGGATTCTTACAACCACCCGCGATTTCAGCATTCCCCAGGATTCCCACTGCCACCAAGTCTTAGCGGCCCCACCCCCACAAGTCCACAAGTCTTGTACCACTTGGAAGCTTACATGGAGTCCGATGTACCGAAAAGAGAGCCTTTGAAGATTCGACAGGAAATCAAGTACATGCCACCAGCCCCAGACTTTCATCCGGCGCTCCTCCAGCCGGATCTAAACTTTGGGAACAAATTGCCCAAACACTGTAGCCGCCAAAAGTTGATCCGTTCACGCAAATTGTACCCCAATTACAGCGAAAAACACAGCAAACTCGGAAGGTTCAAGGACAAACTTGTCGACAATGAAATGCTCTTCAGTCTTCAAAGCTTTGCGGAGATACCCTACGCCCAATTCAATCTATTCGCCACTCCTGCTAGCGTTCTGGTCACTGGTTCTATGGTTCCAGTCATTGTAACAGTGCAGCATCTGAAACGTTCAGAATCGCTTCCCTACCCTCCCGATCTATTTCTCAAGCGCTTAAAAGTTCAGCTGAACGCGATGACAAACATATTCGTGCCTGGTGAACAGTTCGGGCGACACGCCACCAGGGCGGTCAATACCTCAGACAAGAAGAGCATCGTCCTCTGCGACGAGAAATTCGAGAAAGAACATGAACTTCCGCTATACGATGGACTCAATCTTCTGGACGTAGCAAATATCGAGATCCCAAAAGAAAGTACCCCAAGCTTCACGAGCTATGGCATAAACTTAGAATACGAGCTGCAGATTGAAATTTCAGGAAGATGTGCGGATCGTGAGTGGACAGGCATCGCTTGCACCCAGCCTGTACAAGTCGTCACAAGCTGGAAGAAGACGCCTAATCAAGCCATCGGCCCTTTTGAAGCAGGTCCTGAGCCAGAGTACCAGGAGCTAGATCCCATGGCGCAACGTTACGAGGTAGATACAACCCGGTTACCAACGGAATTAGGGGTAGATGCTCCAGCATACGAGCTTGACTCAAGACACATGGCGCCACGTATGGCAGACACCGTACCACCACCTGAATACACTCTATCGCACTGAGCTTCATTACCTCAGCCCTCATATCAGAACTGCACAGTCAGTCTCAGCCCTTTGTCGTTTCGCTATTGAAGAACAAAAGTCTGTCATCCTTCCATCGAGCATGCCCGGGCTGCAGTCATGTGTATGACTGAAGACATTGCAAACCACTACACTGGCGTCCTGGAGCTCCCTTCGGTGCGCGAGAAAACGTTACAGGTTATTCGTCTTGTAAGCGTACACCCAACATCACAATAACGATCATAGTCACAACATGTTCCATGACGCCTACCGTGCAAGATCAGCTTTCTGGGCCTAGTCCTGTGGGGTATCAAGTTTTCCTAGGTACTTGGTTCAGTTGATCAAAGACCAGCCTACGTCCTTGAGTTCTTCGACACACATCGAGACTCTCATAGAACTCAACGGCTTGGACATATTTCGAGGTCTTGACTATATCAGGAAACAATAGGAGACAAAGATTGGGTTTATGCGTTCTTCGAAGACCATCAGTGATGAAAGAAAGCAATTCTATATGAGCATGTCAAGGTGCTGAATTGGAAGGAGGGATTGACCTCAATACGCGTGATGAAGTGACTGCAGGAGGTTGACCGCTTTATGTTCTGAACGCGGCGCGGACGATTGTGTAGTGAGAACAGGGCGATTTTCATTTCGAACATGTAGGTTGCAAGTGTTTTGTTTTGGAATTCTAATATATATGCTATGTGCTACAAGCAGTGTGCAATATATGTCTAATTAGTGTATGGCTTTGGTAACCTCACTTCTCCCCTCTCGCCTTGTTTCTCTCCCTACGCCTCTCCCTCTCTGCCTTTCTAGCCTGGTTCAGGCTAGGTGTAAGACCCTCCTCGTCAATCTTAGCCTTTTCCAGACTCTTCTCATCGATCTCGTCCAACAGGAAGCGTCCCATCATGCCATTCCTCCACTTCTGTATCATCCACAGCGATGTCGCTTCTGTGTCAATGACACCACCCTTACCCAGCCTACCAGTCTTCCTCGCGATTTCAGACAGAAGCTCGATGATATCGTTGGTAGGCGGTGCGTATTCAGAATAGAGCGTAGGCGATTGGAGGTTGAGGTGGTAGAGGAGGTAATCTGCAAGCATGACTGGTGCAATGATTGTATCTTTCACGGAGCCGCAAAGTGCCAACTTCATCATAGCTTCCGCGTTGGGAACGTATGGGATGAAGACACCGGGTGTATCAAGAAGATATACACCTCCTCCAACACCCTGAAGCTTCTTCTTCGCCCCACCGTCCGCTGCTTCCATGTCGTCTTCGCTCGGTATGATCTTCACACCGCTGCTACTGACTTTACGCGTTACGCCAGGTTGAGCGCCGGTAGCTGCAACCTTGCCTTTGCCGATTCCTTGCGCGCGCAATGCATTGAGCAGCGTGGACTTACCCACGTTGGGCATCCCCACTACCATGACGCGGTGTCCGACCAATTTCCACCTCTTCCGCGCATGCTCCCTCAGGATATCCAAAAGCTTGATGACACTCTTCCGACCACTGGTCTCCCCCTCTGCATCTTTGCCGTTCCTCACAAACATGGTCGTTGTAGGATGATGCCATTTCGCGATGACATCCTCATTTCGATTGTCTCGTGACCCACCACCCAGATCTCTCTTCGTATAGACTACCACTCGTTCTTTTCCTTCGAGTGCATCTTCGAACAAGGGGTTGCGCGAGGTAAGCGGCACACGGTAGTCGCGGCATTCGATTACGAGGTCGATCGAGGACAGAAGCGATTTCATCTTCTGCAGGCCGGACTTGTGGTGGCCCAGGAAGTAGGACCTGGGCAGTGACGGGATTTGCGGGAAGGCATGGCGGGGGATGAATGACATCGGTTACATTGGCGTTGATGGAGAAGTAGATATGGTTGAAGTGAAGAATGGAATTATTTCCATTGCGAGTCAAGCGACGACCGCACCTTGGCGAGCATGACTAGCGCGATTACAATCTCCAGGTTTAACGCTTGCGTACGACTCTTTCAACACCGTCGCTCTTTCATCTTAGTATTTCGCGTCCAATTCCATCTCACCTAGATGCTTTCCGGTAACTGAAACCATCACCTTACTCTCCTAACCTGGATGAAGCCGAGCTTACTGCAGACTGCTGTGCGTCCTAGGTCTCGACAGCGCCAGCATCGTAGCCAGGAGCATTCACATGACACATGGGCCACAAACGAAGCCAAGTGGACCAAGCCTCCTTTTCAAGTGAATCACGGGATATGCTCATTGAGTCCTTAACCATGGTAGCGTGGTACGTGTATGCAGTCAGCGTCGCTTCGCTCTCCGCGGAATACCCGCGGAATCTTGGCATGTCCCTCAAGACAAGTTTCCTAAGGATCCAAGTGATTCATAACTATCTACTGGAAAATCCTGTCAATATTTCTATTTTTGCAGTTCTATCGTGGTTCTCTATCGATCGCATCCATCTACCGGATTACTATGCCCGCTTCTGGCAAACGAGAGCGATCCAGTCGCAAGGGACAATACTCATGTAACTTCTGCCGTTCGCGCAAGCTTCGTTGCGATCGGCCACTACCATGTACAAGTTGCAGGTCTAGAGGAAAGGTATGCACGTTCGATCCTACTCCCGCGGCACTCAACACCCAAGACCCTCATACACCAGCTTCAGTCGCGGTTACGCCCAAATATCAACCATTAGAGCGGACTGTGAAGACGACTTCACCTGCACCAGAGGAGTCTGAACTTCTTCATGAGATACGTGTGCTTCAAACTCGTGCGAATGAGTTAGAGAAGCATATCGTGAGGAGCACTGTCCCCGTCCAGCATTTAGGCCACAGTGACAGCGAGACCTTCTTGTCACAGTCCAGTCTGAACCTTGCGGAAGAATACTCCAAAATCACCGGACAGTCCGAGATCTACAGGGTAAAAAACATAGTCGACCATCTCGAGTCTGTCTCGATGGGGCAAAGCTCTCTCGAATCTTTCTTTACAGATGAGTTGGACTTCAAAATTGGAAAGCTTCGATCGATACCACAAGCACCCGCTTTCACAATACAAAATGGAAGGCTAGTGCCGTGTATATGGCTGCCACTACGGGAAGAGGTCATGAAGCTGCTCGATTACTACGTCACAGAGCTCAACTACATTCAGCACGTCACGCATTATCCCTCGCTAGCAGCTACATTTAACGAAGTGTACGACCAGATCGAAAGTTTTGAACTTGTTCAGTCTGGCAAGGTTGTTCTTCTGCTTGGTATCATCGCTCATACGACGCATGTTTGGACCGCGCCGAAGAACTTGGAAAGCGAGCTCCCCTTGTTTCTATCTTCGTCGCAAGCCCGTTCTCAAACATCCGTTTGGATCAAAGCCACATATACAGCACTGAATGCTAGCCAAGAAAGCAGTGCATTAGTGTTAGAGACCATACAAGGCATCGCCATCTTGTCATACGTTATCTGCAATATGGAGGGTGTTTCATTACGATATCGGTGCTTGATATCGACTGGTTTGTTACTTGGCCGTGAACTGGGTCTCCATCGAACCGACCATGAATCCAATATTACTACGGCAGGAACGCTCAAAGCTGAGATTGGTCGTCGTGTTTGGTGGTATCTGACTTCTACAGATTGGTATGTCTATATGAACATCGTCAAACATTGGGCGTTTACAAAATGCTAAGAAAGTCCTCCAGGCTACTTGCAGCAAGATACGGTGGATCTGGCGAAAACGTATACCAGTCCAACCCGCTGCATATGCACGTGAATAAGCCACTGAACACCAACGACGTTGACTTATCTACCGATGAGCCCCAGCAATCCCGACCATTATCACAACAGACAGATATGTCGTACTTCCTTCAGCGCATCCGTCTATCAGAAATCTCACGTAACATTGTCGATCAAATCAACTCCGACCCATCCAATCGCCGCGCTAACATTATGGCAATGGATCGCCAGCTCGTCGAAATGATGAATGAAGTTCCTGCATTTTTGCTGCTGAACGGTTACCAGGACACCAACGGCTGTACAAACTCGAACCACTCGTTCGTCCAAGCCTATTTCCTCAACACTCTTCTCCACACCCAACGCTGCAAACTTCATCTAGCAACTCTCACGCGCACATCCACCATGGATCCAACATACACGTCCTCTCATGCCGCATGTCTCCAATCAGCGCGTCAGTTACTTCATATCGAGACAACACTTCTACGTTCTCAAAACCCCTTCGCGCGCCGCCCCCAGCGACCTCCAGCCGGTCTGTACAGTATCTTCGTTGCCACTATCACTCTACTTATGGATGTTTGTCTCAACAAGCCAAGTGAAATACCAGCCGTACTTCAAGCAGGTGACCTAGTGGAAGGCCTACAGATGATAGCAGATGCAAGGGAAGATTCACTGGCAGCGGCGAAACTATACGAGTCATTCATGCAGATCCTGGGGAGATATGCAGATACTCAACACCCAGCAGAGCACAACTTGAGTGCGACAGACATTCACGCTACTGCAGGGACACTCTCGGGTTTACCGTCGGATGCTTTGCGAGAACAGCAGTCGTATTCTTCGCAGATAAACGACGCAATACATCTCGACCTGGTTGAATGGGATGATCTGTTCTCCAGCGTTTCTTCATCCCCGTTCTTTTGAGTTGGAGCAGAGAACACGACGTCAAAAGGAGCTGCAAAGAGTGAGCATTTTTACCACTTCAGGCCCTACAGTTCTATTCTGGAATTGGTCAAATCTCGTTAGATATCATCAAATGCCGTACTCAACCTTCAGTATCGATACGGTCTTCTTAGACGCCACATTATGCCAACCACCACACATATCTGAGGATTAGGCAATCAACGTGGCCCCACCTGCCACCACTTCACTTTGCTCTATCAAAGTAGAAATTTGTTTCGTCCATATCAGCAGTCACTGTTTGGTCATACTAAGCTCACTATGGAATTCATTACAGCTGACGAGTTGGACTACTCGCTAAGCAATTGTCACAATTGATTCGTATAATAACCTCATCACTCACTTCTCCCGCAAGAACACTCGTTTTCGATATACTGCTACCACCATGGTTTCCTCTCACCTGCTGCGGGGTAGCCGAAATACACATAGATATGTCCCTTATCCTACAGATCTTAAGGCTCTCTCACTCTGTTTATGACAGCCCCCACGTGGCCTCTCGCTACGCTTTGGATGGCTATATAAGTAATCCGCCGTCTGCTCTTCCTACCTTGTTTCCTCTCCACACCACCGCAACTTCTTGGCTACCATATACCGATTCACCGATGTATTAAGCGAGCCTCAACTTTGACAACGCTATACACGTTGATTCTCTCTCCATGCCACTTGGAGAACATGAGAATGGACCCAATACTCACTCTCAAAGAGTTTCCGGCATATCTCCAAGGGCAAAGGACTCTACCACGATATGACGCCAAGCAAGAGAAGAAACCGGACGATCCCTGGTGGAGACTTGATAGAGCCAGTATCGATGAGTTGATGAAAGAACTCGCACAACTCATCACTGAACAATTGAAAGGCTCTCCAGACAATGACAAAGAGCTTCAGCATTTGTTACGTACGGCTACCGACCTCGCCCACGTCGTGCTGAGCCCTGCAATCAAAGTTGCCCTGATTGGAGCTCAAGGTGCAGGAAAGAGTCTTACGATCAATGCTCTATTTGACTGTGATGGTCTTTCGCTCACCGGTGCGGAAGGGGCTGTTTGTACCAGTTCGATAACGCGTTATGTTCAGTACCCTAAAAGCACAACCGGTGAAGATCAGTTCTTTGCAGAGATCAAATTCTTCACTAGAGAAGAACGAGAAGCACTACTCAAAGAGCACGCTCGGTCGTACTACGTATACCACAACGTCGACGATGACGATGACGATGATGAGGACGTCTCACGTACGAAGACTATCGGGCAGGATGAAATGGACCGCAGTCTGAACGACACCGCGGAAGATATCTTCACAACATTGTTCGGGTTCTACGACGAATTTCTTGAGAATTGGAATGTATCTGATTACAGATCAGGAGAATTCATCAACCTCTGTCAGCTGAAATGCGACGAAGCCCTAAAGAAAGAGCAAGTTGACTCTCAGGGTATTGCTACTAAGATGGCAGATACTCAGAAGGAACTGCTGGAGAAATTACGACCATTCTTAACTAGCGTCAAAGGTCAGAGATGTTTATGGCCACTCGTGGACCACATCGCAATCAGATTCCATCATGAACTACTCCAAGGAGGGATAGAGATCATCGATCTCCCAGGTATGCTATCTCACTCACCAGAGGGTTATCCCCGAAGTTTCAGCTAACCATTCGTCAGGCTGGGGTGACATCAATCTTTCTAGAGTCCGGCATGCCGAACAGATCAAAGACACTGTTGATGTTGAAATCATCCTCGCAGATACCATACGTATTGCCTCCGACGATAAAGTCATCAACAGTACACGTGCAGCTGTCGCTCATCATGGTCCTTCAAAAGTCAAAGTTGTCGCTACAAAGGTCGATGTGGGTTATTGCAAACTTTACAAGGGTTGCGTCTTTACTGATCCCTTGTAGTCTCTTTCCAAGAACCAGTTGTCTCAATGCGCAGGCGGCGAATTCGACATCATCAACCAGTTGCTGCAGGAAGTTGAAGAGCAAGAGGCTGGCCTGGACGATGATGACGAAGACGAGGAGGTCAATTCGAAGGAGCGCAGGACTTTGGGCCAATATCGCATTTATCTGGAACGTATCCGAAAGCAGAAAAAGATACTGCAACGTGCAGATATCATCAACGCAGAGCTCACGGCGAAGCTCAAGGGCAGAACCACCAAGGACATGCCGCAGATATTTCACACCTCTGCCTCTGAGTACATGGACTGGATACGCAAACCTAAGCTGGGGTTTTCGAATCAGCCATCGCTATCTCCCGATATGACTGGTATTCCCTCCATTCGCGAATATCTCTTTTCTTTACCAGCGCAACAGAACTTGAGAGATTATGAACGCCACATCAACACAACGATTCCAGCATTCATCGAGAAAGTAAAGAGAACTGTTTCAGAAAGAGAGCGTGATGGAGATTTCCGAACCATAGCTGATGATATCGACGCGGTTCGCAGGGGATACATGACCCGGCTTCTCTCAGAAGCGAAAAAAGGGTTTCAAGGATGTTTTGACGAGAGCGTTCAAAGAATCGAAAAGGACATACCGAATTTCAAAGAGCAGCTTGAAGAAAAGATGACCACCGAATGGTTCATCCTCAGATCGGCGGCCTTCACTCGCATTCTTAGGCACCGGGGCATTGTTTTGAAAGGCGCGTCTAAAGCCAAAGGCCTTGAGAATGGATGCCACTGGAACAAGGAACTGGCAGACTTACTTGCACCTGGGTTCAACAAGTGGTACAACGCGCATACGGGGTGTATGAGAAACATGAAACCAGCCCTGGGTGGGAGCTTAGATCAGCTTCATCACAAGATCACGAACATGATCCACGACTCCGGCGCAAACATGGTCACAATTGAGAAGGCAAGAAAGAGATGGGCTCCATTACGCAACAAGCTCCAAGCCAAACTCATGGTGATGATGGAAGAGGTTAGCAAGCTTGAGAAGTTGATGTTTGAGTCGGCAACCATGGAGTTTGGTCAAGAGAGAAACCTCATCTCTTACATGACCGATGACCTTTACACCGAAGTTTTCGAAGCGGTACCTGAGGAAAAGCCGCCCCTACCAGCAAAATCAGGAAAGAAGAAGCCGGCAAAGCGATACGTGATGCCTAAGCTCAAGTTTCAAAAGAAACGCATGGAAGACTTATTCCTGAACCCAGATACCCACTTCATTGACCAGGTCTTCCAGCGCTTTCAGGCTGGATTCAACGATGCAGTTCGTACGCTCCTGGACAAGCACTTCGTTGGCATTGACAAGATGCTCGAAAACTTGAGCACAAGCCTTCGAGCAGAAGCTCCAATAGACTATCGCATCACCGAGGAAGGGAAGGCTATCCGCGCTGATTTGGCAGAGCAAATTCTCAGTTTTGAAGAGAAGGCAATGGAACTACGGAACAAGCTACCACAAACGGTGAAGTCCGAAGATGATACAGCACTTATACCTCCAAATAACCCAGAGACATCAGAGGGAGATGAAAACGATAATCTGGCGATCTTCTATGATAAGATGACGAAGTCAAAGCGCAGGGTTACTCCTGATCCTGCTGCTCGACGAACTAAGCGTATCAAGACGGAACCTTCGTAAGACTATCTTAATAACGCGACCTCAGATATATAGGTTCATCTTACGCTTTAAGGAGGTCCGAATTTCCCGGCACTCCCTTACAGGATTCAACCTATGTTCAAGTTCACGTGGCGACTGAAGAATGCCCGTACACTCCAGTCTTCTGGATTTCTCCATCTGCGCTTCCTTAGACAAAAGCGGGTATTTTTCTGCAATATGGCTTTCTCCCTCTGGATCGAACCGGCGATGGTAGTACGAAATGTTAGGATGCCTCAATCGAGTTTTGCAACTTCTGCGCTGCTTCAAGTGTTATTGATTTCTTTTGCGGGTTTACTGATTGTCAATTTCTGAGCGGCATCATCTACTGGCTCAGAACTTCTGGTCACCGGATCAGAAGTGGGGGTTGTCGCAGAGATCGAGTACGATCTGTCCAAAAGCTTCCCAATATTATGCGTTTTTCTCATATAGCTATCAGTAGATCTATCAATGACGTTTCGAAGCATCCTAACACCGTTCTGTCGAGTTACTGACGGCATCTGACGTATTTACACCCACCTTTTTAGTTCTTGCTTATCTTAGAACTCATTTTATCCGCGGAGATTCTGGTTCCTAATGCAACTTGGTGCGAACAATCGAGACATAGAGGAAGCGGCCAAATTCTAGGACGACAACAGATCGCCTACGGCTTTAGAAAGAGGAGACAAGGTATATGCCTCTAGAGCAAATGTCTTCATCCGTAAATAAGATCAAGACATAGGACTTGGCGGTGACCCTGTACCAATACTCAACCCTTGTGGGCAAGGACATGGTCAATCATAGTGTGGAGAAGCTCAATTTCTTAAGTTATACGCAAGACTAAGAGGTCTGTACAAACGTATCCGAGGCGAACTTCGTCCAACTACCAATGGTGTATAAGACCATATCTCCTTTGGGCCAGTCTTTCCAAATGTTTTGTACATCGCTGTGACATGGTACAGCCCACGGTAAGGCTGATTCACATATTGACCATGTCGTCTATTCGGGAGAAGCCCTAGACATTGTCCCAGCAATCGTCTGTTTCAACGTACTGTAGAACACGACATCAGATCAGACTCCCCTTATGGATGAATTTCAGCCATGATGATCGGGTATAGAAGTAAATAACATAAATGGTCGCAACAGTACGCAATCTCTCGAGCCTTATTGTTAGATGTTGCCGTAAACTGTAGCGTAGCAGACGATTGACTCTACATCTGTTCAGAGTCTCTCGTATATGCAGCAACAACGTCAAAGAAGTTTGGCTGCAGTGGGGAATTGAGAGGGATATAATAGTTCTCACTAACCACATCGTGTGTACGTCCTGCATAGAAACCATGAAAGGAGAGTACAAAATCATACAGTATACCAATAGCAATCTCCATCTCCTACTCCTGACCTAGAAAAGAACATCAATATCACATACTCAGAATCCTACTCCCGATAGCCACCAAAGTCATCCTCTCAACGGTCTTGACATGATGCTGCATGAACACAATAATGCGTCAATCTACGCGCCGTCACCCCACAGTCCAACGACCTGCATGGCAAAAGCCACACCAGCCAGCCCAGTCTTGACCCACTCAACCTTTTGCTTCCTCTCGACCGCCAATCGGACCTGCTCACCATTGACCTCATCACCTTGAGCCTCCAACTCCATTACTTGACGCTTCTCGTCACCGCCTGCCGTCAAGCTAACGGCATAGTCAACACCGGGTCCCGAGACGAATGAGAAGATGGATGTGTAGAGTAGGTAAGGATGGCGGAACCGTCTTGGTGATAGACAGTAGGCGGAAAAGAGAGTAAAGGTTGTGATGTGGCGGAGGTATGAGGAGAGGTTCGTGGATTTGGTGGAGAGGTAGTTTAGGGATGTTCGAGCATTGATGGCGGTAGGGAGAGCGAGGAGGGCGGGGAGGGCGACTGTGGAGACAGTTGCTGAGACACCCTAAGATATGTGTTAGTATCGTCGCGTTTTGGTGTACTTCCTCCTGTTGTACAAGGAGTTCGTCTTCCAGCTAGAGCTCTGGCGCTTTATGCGGGGAGCTCGAAGCCTGAAGTGGCGGAAATCAACTTACTGTTGCGATTCCCAGGGTGATTGTTCCGACGAATTTACATATTGAGACTGTCTGCGCCGCCATGGTGATGGCAATGGAGATTGCGAGAGCTATGTTGGGCTATCTACGGGGAGTCTCTTGTGGTTGAGTTATCTGCTGGCAATGCACGTTGACGTGCCTGCAGCGACTTGGAAGATTGCGGAGATGGTGCGGAATTCATCCGGAGCGGGCAATCCATCTTTCGGAGAAATCATCATGGCCCATGCTCCCCCTACCACTCGCGCAATGCGGAGAAGAGCAACACATGTCAACAAGGCGCTGCACGGCACCGCAATACAGAAAGGCATCCGATCCGACGTCTGCTTATTGCCGAGACGCTCCTTGCTTTGTCTACGCCTCTTGTACGGCTATTCAACCCTTAAAATGTACTCGATGCGCGCAATGTGTCGCCGAGAGCGCATCGCAAGCATTAAGAGAGTAATCTTGCCAGTCGTACCTCGGCTTCCAAAAGCACCGCCGCGTATCCTACCATCATCCGCCCCATCTTGCGGCCGTAGCTTTCACTCGACGTGAGCATACTCACTTACTTATACTCTACGCGCTTCACATCTATCCACTTCGCGATTACTCACTGCTGTCATCGCTTGCTCACTCATCAACCCCAGTCCTACATTTTCCCAATCAGACAAGCACGACCACACGGAACCTGCCTGGAAAACACCGCGCACAATGCCTATGGAAAAGTACCAGTTTGTGAGCAACGTCTGGAAAGATGGCATCTTCGGTACGTTTTATGGACAAGAGAGAGCGAGTTTGGGTAGTTGGAATAGTTCCAATACCTGGCAGCAGACAGCGCTACATCTTGATAAAAGGCTAACAGAGATACCTTAGACAACAAAGTCGTTTTCTGCACAGGAGGCGCAGGGTCGATCTGCTCCGCTCAAGTCCGGGCCATGGTCGCCCTAGGAGCAGACGCCTGCATCATCGGCCGTAACGTAGAGAAGACGGAGAACATGGCCAAAGACATCGCAACTGCACGTTCAGGCGCAAAGGTAATCGGCATCGGCGCAGTCGACGTCAGGAAGCCAGAACTCCTCGAACAAGCCGCACAACGCTGCGCCAAAGAACTCGGCAGCATCGACTTCGTCATCGCAGGCGCAGCAGGAAACTTCCTCGCGTCCATTGACCAGATCTCGCCCAACGCCATGAAGAGCGTCATCGATATCGACGTACTGGGCAGCTACAACACCGTCAAGGCTACACTACCATATCTGAAGGAATCAGCGGCGAAGCACAGGACAGATGGCACTACACAGTCCGCCAACGGAACAGGCGGACGCATCATCTTTGTGAGCGCAACTCTGCATTACCAAGGAACACCTCTCCAAAGCCATGTCTCGGTCGCAAAGGCAGGTGTAGACGCCATGGCCATGTCCGTCGCTATCGAGCAAGGCCCCAGAGGCATTACATCTAACATCATCGCCCCCGGACCCATTGCGGACACCGAAGGCATGTCGCGACTATCAAAGTCCGACTCCAGGAGCAAGGCTGCCAAGACCATTCCAATCGGTCGTTGGGGCACTGTCAAGGAGATTGCCGATGCCACGGTCTATCTGTTCTCTGATGCGGGTAACTTTGTCAACGGAGAGACTCTGGTTGTTGATGGCGGTGCATGGCACACGGCGGGTGTCGTCGGTGGCTTCGAGTATCCAGACTTCTTGCTCAGTGGAGAGGCTGTTACGGGTGTAGCAGGAGGAAAGAAGTCGAAATTGTAAGTCAAAAGTGTAGGAATGTACTTGGCCTGAATTGAAGACAAGAGAATCTCCCTACATGCTAAAGTCAATTGGAATGAGTGGGATATATCATGTGATTCTGATTGAATGTGTGCCAGCAAAGCATTGTGCTGTGCCGTTCTCTCGTACAAGCAAGGGGATGGACATGTACTTCGAGCCGACTTCATAATGCCCCTGCCATGCTTGTCCAAGTTGGAGATGGTGTGAAGACATCCTAGCTGCAGTTCACGGTGCGGCTGATTCCACACCTCGGGTCGCTATAACACCAATGTTCGAGCCTCAACGTTTTGGAATAATGAAAATACCCCGATTGTGCCGGTCATTGCGCTCGAACCGTATCGAAAGCAGACCGAGGTGCAAGCTTGACAAAAGGAATGTATAGATGAGCGGGACGACCGGGTCCCAGTGCTGCAATCTCACGGTGTATTGGGAGACGTGCTGATGTGCCTCTATTTACGGCCTTGGGCGCGAACAAGACCGGACGGATATGGCAGACATGCGTATCTCGCATCAGCTTCTCTGGTAAGCATCGTATCCCAACACGATGGCAACATCCAAGCAACACATCATCGACCCTGAGCGGGATCTCATCTTGTCATCAACAAATCCAACGCAAATCCTTTGTTCCCCGCGGGCTGCCAGCACATCAGCCTTACCCACCCGCGCATCACTTCATCGTCGCCAACCCACTTATTTCCAACTTTCTTCCCGTGATATGACGAAAGTGTTGCTTCACCAGGTTTGAACTGTTGAACATCTTCATCTCGCCCCTTGAGTTGACGCACATGCCAAAAGAAGCTCCAGTTTTAATAATACGACACAGCAACGGCTTCCCTGCTCCCCTGTCGATCGCACTATCGATACCCAGGGGTGCTCCTTTCGGGCTGGCCTTGGTGGTGGCTTACCATGCATGCGTCATAGCCCTTTTTCAGGAGACAAAGGCCTGCGCGGTGCCGTTAGCGAAATTGAAATGGGATTGGCGCCGTCAGGTTGCCGTGTTTTGGGGATAGGGTGGGCTAAGACGCGTGGTCGCGCGGTGGCTTGCGGGTGCTTGGCCGGCAAGTTCGCTCTGTGGGTAGTGCCGTGGGTGTTTGGCTAGTTGGTAGTTGCGCGTGTTTGTGTGGTTACTGTGGTGTTGGGTGATTCTCGGAGGGATTCAGGCTGAAGTGTGCGGACATTTAGAGAAATGAGTGAAGGCAGGACAACTGCGCTTCCGAGGTAAGCGACTTCTCATGTTGATGAGAAAGTGTGTGTTGTGTGCATTAAGACTGGTTGCCGGGTCGTCGGTGTGCCGTTGACTGACACGTTTCGATTGATCGATGGGCGCGTCGCCGTGGCCTTCGCGCGTCGCTTGAGTGGTGAGGAAGCGATGAGGCTTGACGCCGTTGCTAGACGGCGGCGTGAGGCTTGGGCGTGCCGGCGCTTTTTGTCATGCGCCCAAGCACCCAAGCACCTTGCGCAATTCATGGAACGGGAAGCCTCAACATGGTTTGAGAAGGTCGTGCAGATAAGGCCTTCACTCATCTTAGAGTGTTGTGCAAAGGATACGGGTGCGAAGATACGAAGAAGGGGATGACCCTTCTCGCATCCCCGACCATAGCAGAGGGTCCAATGGACAGGGCTGCAGGTACAGGTACAAGGCGCGGACACCTGCTTCTGCTGTCTGCTGCAAGTATATCGATGTTGGCACTCCAGTTGGGTGTAAGCGACAGGGAGGCTCGCGATACGACGCCACTGAGCTGTCTAGTCTGCCCTGTGCCAGGTGATCAGCACTGCATCAGAAAGACAAAACATGCAGCAAGTCCCGCGTTGTGCACCCAACCATTCTGTTCTCTCTCTTTTCTTCTCATACACTCGTTGTCGAAATTGCGCCTATACATTCGTTTAACTGGTGCTTGAACCAGAAACCATTCGTTGAAAGAAGCAGCGTGGGTTGCCCAGGACGGTCGCTTTATCGATTATATCGCGAGAAATCATTTCCGGAAAAAGGTCCGGGTTAGTGACACTGGCTGCGGGAGCACAGCGACAAAACCAGGACGGGTTTGCGAATCACAAGCGGCTTGTGCATCCACCTGAAGCATCAGTGAGGCTGCTATCGTGATCCAAGGAGCGACGATCTGCGAGGTGTGCAAAGTTGAGCACGTCATGACGACGAGATAGGCCGAGGAACTTCACATTTTGTCACAAGACCCCATCGTCGAGTTTCAAGCACGACGGCCGACAGCCACGGCCGAGCATCCAGGGCGCCTCTCAGCAAACCCAGAGTTGGCAGCGAGCAGGGTGTACCGCGGTTCGAGTCAAGTCTAGTGCCAGTGCGGAAGAGGCGGAGAGGCTACTCTTGAACTAACGGCCAAAGCGGGAGAGATCAGTAGCCAGGTAGTGTTCCATTCACCAGCACAGACCTACCGGCCAGTTAGCGTTTGGTAAGTCCTGCAGCTCCACCAGCTCCCATCCTCAACAGCGGCACCGTCTCCGTCCAGCTTTTCCCTCTCCACAACCAGCTGTGCTACCGGCGACACCCGTCAGACAATCCATCCACGGGCAGCGATGCTGACGATAGCTTGAGGGGATACCAGGAAGACATCGCCGCCTACGACCAATAACCCGTTGCACCGAGCCCGCCCATTCCCACCAGCTGGTACCACCTCACACCACATCCACCCATCCACCCCGCCTGCACGCCCTCGAGGCCTCCGCAAACTTCACTCACCCACTGCATCGCTCGTTGACGACGTCGGAGGCGTTCAATCGCTAATCCAAGTCTTTGTCGCGGTCAACAATCGCTACACGCGCCCATTCACTCGCGAGAACAAACGACATTGTCGCCTTCCGCCAACGGACGCGCCTATACAATCACACTCGACGACCCCACCCACAACCTCACACATCCCACAACATGGAGCACAGATTCGCCTCGACGCTGCTGGGCTTCTTCGCCTTCTTCATATTGCTGGCCTCCATCAAACCAGCAGGCGCAGCAGACTGGACGCAATCATACTGTTCCAGCCTGAACACTGGTAGCGACGATCAAGTCTGTAAGTATCATGTCGATCCGTGTGGCTCCACGATCCACATCTAACCTCACCAGATAACTGGCCATGGCAATCCAACGGCAACTGCACCAACCACTGCAAAGAGGAGGGCACATATGCGTTCGCCGTTCTACAATACACCGACTGCTGGTGTTCCAACTATGCGCCCGGAGACACGGCCAACATGAACGACTGCGAGGTCGACTGTCCTGGCTTTCCCGACGAAAAGTGCGGCAACAAGGACAAGGACCTGTTCATG